GGCAGCAAACAGGAATTTCTCGCTCGTTATCAGTTAAGGCTGCTTGATAAAAAAACAATCAACTCCGATCTTGTGTCAATGAACATTTGTCGTAACTTTTGCAGAGCTTATAATCATAAAGAGAAGCTAAGATCCAGAAACGACAAAACCACATCAGTTCAAAAGTCTTTACTTCTACTGCTGATTGCTGCTTCTGTCCTTGTTTCTTTCACGAAAAACTGTACTATTTAAAAGCGCCTATGTCAAACTGTGAGTTGCAGGGATACCCATCAAAGACATATCTTTTACCGAGTTACCTTCGTTTTTTGACTTGCAAAATTGTTCTTCTTTTTATACTTTCAGCAGCAGCTCAATGTGAATGTATCACCTTATTTGAATTAATGCATGCTGTGAAAGCAAGATAATGGTAGAGACAGATAGTTTTGTTTTTGCATTTTGTGACTATGCTTCTTATTGATTTAAAGTGGCAAATGTTATCATTTTCTGTAAAATATTGGTTAACTTTGAATTGTTAAAATAAAAATTTCTAAAAGCCAACAGTCTGGCTGACCTTGTTGGAAAAAAAATCAGCGAATAAGAAAGAAATACCAGAAAGAGTAAAAATTTTAGAATGAATTAGAGATTTTTTGATTTTGAAACTTTTACTCTTTTTTGAAAACCTCCAGTAACTCTCTCAGAAAACGAACAGTGGCACTCTGATAAGTTGAAAAGTTGAAAAAATGAGAAGAATTATGTGACAGCTATTTTTTAACACTAAAACATTTTTATAGCGCTGAATATGTAGAAAAAATAAAAAAAAATCGAAAAAGTGTTGTTCAAAATTCTTTGATCTTGCTGAAACAATTGAACCTTACAACCTCATTAATGTTGTGCTGTTCTTGTATTTTAAACTTTGAATTGATAGGCCATTTTACTGGTCTACAATATAACTGTGAGTTGGTCAGCCGTTAGCAAGTGTAGGTAATTTGCGTTTGCTAAGAGCCAATAAAATGATTCTTTAAAAGCCTTCTGCTAAAAATTGGCGTTCTGAATTGTGTTTTGAGCCTTATTCATTGTTTTTGTTAACTAAACTGCTTTTGCTTATGTTACTACTACTTTGTAAAAAATATAGCATCTAACGTAAGCCTCCTCTTCCACTGAGAATTCCACATTACTGACGCGGCAATAAAAAGCAGAGCTTAACTCTGCCAACTAAAGTGAATCAGTGTCACCTTCTGACAATATAATTAAACGGTAAAGACATTTGAAAACCCTGCAACGTCGCTCTCTTATGGCTTCCTAAAATTGCAGTTAAACTGACTATGAAATAGTGTAGGATTTGTTAAGAGATGGTTCAATACAAAACATCTTATACTGTGAGTCTTCATTCCTTCAACAAAATCTTGATCTATTATTCTGTACGTGTACTTAATGAGATTTCCAAAAAAAATTGTGCTAATTAGTCGTCCGTAAAAAACCAATCACCAAACGCTAATTTATTGGGAATGTTGACAAATAATTCACTTAAAATACTATTTCAGGAAAAACCCATAATTCTTAACAGCAGAAAACAACGTAGCATACAGAACGGTAAAGTTAAACTGTCTGATAGAACAAAATTTTTAAACTTCTAGAGCAAAATTATATTCAGTTTACGATTTAAATGAAAAATTTCTAATGGTAGAAAAATAGTCGGAAAAAATGACAGCGTTAAATGCTGATAGCAATAAACAGTTTGTAGAATTTTCGCTAAACTTTGCCCGTTTCAGTACAATAGTTTTTTCCTTTTGCAATTTTATTTTATCATGTCTTTATGTTTTCATCTGAATTCCTCCAGATAGTTAGCTGGTTACTGGTGGCATTTATAATAAAAAGCCATTTTTAAGCATTATTTATAATTCTTATATGACAATTGAGGGTTAGCTTTTTCCTCTTTATTGCACCACTCCTAACTTCTGTTTTCTGAACTCGTCCCAAAACTGAAACTACGAGAAGCAAAAATTTTCTGTTTTTTTTTCAAGCACATTATTCTAGAGCTAAGATTCGACTATTTCATCGATGAGTTTAAAGTGATGTGTTGAGTAAACCGGGTCTTTCACTGCTGAAGCCAACAACTGGAATTCCTTGCCCTTAGCTGCCAATTCTATATAGCTGTTTATAGCACCAAGAAGACTTGTAAATTTTTGCAGCCCCTCAGCGGTATCATATTTTTTCATCAGGTAACTGAAATCCAGTTGGCTAACATAGTGCTTATTGTATATGAATAAAAAGATGTAATAAACTTGTAAAGAAAACTTACAAGTGTTTTACGGCTGAATAATTACGGAAAATTCACTTAAACTAGCAATGTAAGGCAAGAAAAGAAAGAGAAATCAATGTAATAAATACTTACTCAAAAAGTAGTTTAGCATATTTTTCCTTCTTTCGTCTTAACTTTGTTCGAGCTTCCATGCTCAAGCATTCCAAAGCTGAAAAATATCGCTATTATGCGCGGCTCACTGGTATCAGCATTTTAATTTAGAGGATAAAATAGGAGCGAGGACGAAATATAAGCACAAAAGATTTGCGCAGTAAATTGCTTCTGTTGAAAAAAAGTTTACCATCGTTTGCAAGCGCAAGTACTCGCAAAAGTGCATATTCTGTGTCATCCAGCTGACTTCGAATTAAAATTTCCATATTTTTTGCAATCACGTAGCGCAGCAAACGAGGCGGGCTGAAGAAAACTTTTTTTGCGTAAAAGGAAAAGTAAAATCTGATTGCTCGATTTGATTTTTGAACAGTCAAGAAATTTGAATCAAATTTTTTTTTTACTTTTACTCTTCCTACAGCAAGATTCACAGACAATCACAGTGAAGCCTGCTTCTACTATTGCTACTCTCCCAAATTTACAAAACTCACTTCAGCCATACAGTCATCGTTCCATCTGGAAAAATATGTGTGTCTACGTTCTTCTTCAGAGAATTAAACGAAACGAAAAGCATGCATTCTATTGCTGAGGTGCCCCTTACCAACGTAATCTGAAAGCGAGTTCTCATCGTGTATCACAAAAACTTTAAACTGTTTTCTCCAACACCCAACAACGAGCCTTATCTCGAAGTGATAATTCAGCGAAGAAGGAGAATGTTTTGGCAAACTCAACAGATAAGATTGTGTTGCAAAACAACCACTCCTTGTATTTAACAGGTCGCTTTGCTTTAATACGGTCGATAGAGGTGGCTTTGTTCAGATGAGACCTTTCAGCTGCCCAGTCTTTAACAGCCTAAAAAAATCGTTCAATTACAGCAAAATCGTCATTTTTTGGAAAAAAGGAGTTCTTTACACTTAAGTCACAAATAATTATGGTTTCTCAATGCTGCTAAACGTTTCGTACCTGATATCGTGAAACATCATCTATTAAGTTAGAAGACCGAAGTAATTCAGCAAGTGTAACTTCTTCAGTTTCCATACAAAGAGAAGAAGTCCATAAAAAGTGTAGCTTTGACTCTGTTTTCAGAAGATCGCTAATGCTTTTTAAGGTTTCATACTCTACTACAGAAACTTCCACCGGAGAAACCTGCAGAAGGTGACTATCACAAGAAAAAATAATTTTAAATAGAACATTAAACAAATAAAAAAATTTGAATGCATTTTTCACAAATACGATTTGAACTTAATTGTTAATCGTTGACGTAATTTTAAACACAGAAAAGACATTTCGCTTTGTCTTAACAGGTAACCTGGCCCTTAAAAAACCCACAGTACTCTTAGCGTTTCTTTTTAAACTTTTTGTCAGGTTCTTCAGATTTTTTCTGTCGTCAGACGAAATCTGTACGAGTAATGGATTCATACCGGCAGCTAGGCAACGCCCAAAACGACAAGCACGACACAAGCGTCGTTTTTCTGCAACTCACTTTTTCTCATTACTGACTCTTTTGCGGAATTTCAGTCTTTTTAGATATCTAAACGTGTGTGGTTTTTATGTGGTGCGATTTCTGAGGAATAGAGTGGCTGTGAAATACGTAGTCTTTTTGAAAAACAAAAAGCATTTTTACCTTTTAAAAGTGCACACTGCTTATCATTTTTGCATTCGTAACTTCTTCCCTGCAAAACTGTTCGCTTGAAAAAAGATTTACAGCCGTTGCACGAAGGAGCATCGTAGTGATAACCTGTAAGTCAAAGTTATATAAACAAACTTACAATGTATAAAGCGCAATACAATAAAAAGAAGCAAATAATTTAAAACTGAAATTAATGTAGAGAAACTGAACCAGTAGCTTTGTCTCCACAAACTGCGCATACTTTTGGACGTACATTTACTGCACCAGCGAAAGTCTTTGGCAAACCAGGAACGATCACTAATTTCTTTTTGTCTGCATCTACCAATAATGGTGGTAAACTTGAACTTCGCTCAAACTCACTGTTCAACCTAGAAAAAACTGTTTGCATGACTGTCACTGATTAACTTGCTTTTTTTAATTTTAGTCGGCTTAGATTTCTAAATAACGGAAAGCTATAAATTTTTTCAGTCCGGATACTTTACACAGACAGAACAAAATGGTTGATTGGTTGACACTCCTCGGTTTGCTTCGGTCCTATGGAGTTCTCAATGTCAGTATCAGTGGGAATTCCACGTCAAGCGTTAAAATGGAGTGGTGCTTCAAGACTGTGTGTTTTTCCCTTCAAAACTTGGCGTGTTTCCCCGAAAAGTCAAAAAAGTTTTAATGCTATTTTTGAGTATGATTAATATATTAGGAATTTCCGAGACTGTTCGCTAGAAAAATTCAAATTAAAAAAGCGTTTTCCTGCGTATTAGAAAACATTAGAAACGAAAAAATCTTGTGAAAACTGTATAGATTTGTACTAAACGTTAGGTTGTCTCTGCGGAAGAACCTGTAAAGAGGATGAATTGAAACAGTTTGTGAGGAAGCTATGTTAGTTATTTTAAAAAATGGGATCGTGTTTCTACAAGTAACGGCCTGTATACAAAATGCAAATTTTATTTTATCAGACGTGGAGTTGACAAGGATATTAAGACATTAAGGCTTCAGATTAATTCTTTTGCAGGCATTTTCAAATAAAAATGTTTAACTCTAAATTTATCAGAGTAAAACTTGTTGTCAAAAGTAGCACCTACGCGAAGTGCTCAGTAGGGCATAAAATTACGTAACTACGTATCAATTTAAGATGTTATGATATTCCGAAATCTTGTTTAAAGCATAACAAAAAAAACTTATAAAAAAGCCCTATTATGCCGATTTTGTAAACTATGGAACGCTTGTGGGTAATCGCAAAAAGTTAACCACCAACAGATGAGGAGTATCTGTTGTTCACCAGCCCATTTCCAAACAGACTACAAACTGCACAAGTTCAAAAATTGCGTAACTTGCATAACTTTTGATGTGTGTCACACACGTTAAAAAAATATTTGTTACTTTCAGTACTCAGAAGAGCTTCAAACATCTGTAAATTTCACTTTTTACTCTGTTGTTATTTACTGCTTATAAGGAGTCTTATTAAAGTTCGCAGTGTAGTTTCAAACAATGCACCGAATAGCATTTTGCATACAGAGCGTTATCAAGGTATCAGAGAGCGTGCGTTTGAAAAAAAATAAAATTAAATACTTTAAAAATGTAGCAAAATTTTCTTATTTTTCTTCAGTACTGACGTTGAAGTCTTTATTAGAGAGGTTTAAAGTCAAAAATAGCGCATACTTCGCAAATCTAAAATAGCTGCGCAAGTTCGCGATATGATTTTAAAAAATAATAGCTGATGCACCTTTGTAGTTCTTTTTGTGAGTATTAGTCTTTGGGATGCATGTAACAGTCGGAACTGTGCTTCAAATAAAATTGTAATATGACTTTCCTGTCTTTTATGTACATGTAAATTTTTATACTTACGGCATATTGAAGAAATACGCAAGAGCACTCTAAAACTTGAGCTTGGTTTTAGTGTGACTAAGCATGAATTCTTCATCATACAATTCTTCATCAGTTTATGCCATACTGTTGCGACCAAATGCAAAACGGCACATTTAAAATTAAAGTATTCACTGTGTGTTCCCTGAGAGGAAAGCTGTTAGAGGAGCAACGGAAGGGAATACGACAAAGGTGGCGGAGGTGTCTAAATAGATGGTGAAGTTAAGCACTTTTTATTGTGGTTATAATTTGATATGAATCAATAACGTTCTTCAC